TGTGAGAGTGATGGCAGCAGCCCAGGGTGCCCAGAGAAGCTGTGGCTGCCCCTGGATCCCTGGAAATGCTCAGGGTTGGACAGGGCTTGGAGCAACCTGCTCCAGGGGAAGGTGATGCTGCCCATGGCACAAAGGTGGAAGGAGATGGGATTTAAAGCTCTTTCTACCCCAATCAGTCTGTGATTCTGAGATTCTGCATGCTTGAAGAGACCACCTCTATGCAGACAAAGCTCCAGGAGTTAACAGAGTCACGGAGGAATGGAAAAATGGCAGAAAGTGCTGAACCCAGACTGGCAAATGGAGGCATGGAGCTCTGCATGGTTGACAGATGAGCTCTGAGGACCCCACAGCTTGCTGGAGGGTGCAGGGGATGCTTTAGCACTTGGGCTGGGCACTGCAGACCAGGCAGATCTGAGCATGCAGTGAGTGGGGCCAGGCTGTGCACAGAGAAGGGCAGAAGGTAGAAATGGATGCAGAGGAAAGAGAAACTCAAAACTCACCTCCAGCACGGAACAGGAGAGCAGTTTGGTGCTCTCTGTGTTTGTCATTGGAGCCAAGGGAGCTTTCTGATTGTCCATGAGTCATTCCCAGTGGGGTCTGTCCTCCAGCCCTCCTTGCACAGTGGTTCTTGGGGCTGGTGTGTCACAGCACCCTCTGCTCCTGCTCCCACAGCCTCCATCCTATTGCTCCCTGCAGCTCCTGGGCTCTCCAGCCAGCACAGCCCCCTTTGCTGCCACCACAAGCTCCATCCTGCCCATTCCAACCCCACCCTGTGCTCTCAGCTCTGCCCTCAAACCACAGCAGGGATCCCCGGGCTCCCCCATCCCAAACCCTCCTGAAAGAGTGGCTGAACCACAGGGCTCAGAGATCCCAGCCCACAGCCACGGGGCCCCTGGCAACAGGCAAACAAACAGCTCCTCAGTGCCTTCGTCACAGCCTGGTGATTCATGGTGGGGCTTGGCCACCGGGCCTCTCCTGGCATGGAGAACCTTTTTATCATGCTTTTCCTTTGATGTTAATCTGCTCACTTCCAGCCTCCGCTGCCTTTTACGTGCAAACCCCATCGGGAGAATCCTGCTGCTGGCCTGGGGGTGCTGCAGGAGCAGCTCCAAGGGGCAGCACAGCTGAGCTGCTCTGGCTCTGCCCCGTGCTGCCAGCCCCGTGTTCCCCCTGCAAAACACAAATCAGGGTCTTCCTGAGGATATTTTGGGGCTCCAGAGCCAGCACACAGAGCTTTCTGCACCCTGCTTTGGGAAAAGCTTTCAGCCTCCTCAGGGAAAAGATTTCTACCTGTGCAGGGCTGATAGAGAGTCCCACACCCCCTCTGCACCATGCTCTGACTCCAGCTTTGTGCAGCCTCCTGCTCTGACTTCTACAACTGAGCCCAGTTTCGTTTTCTCCTTTAATCTGAGGGACTCTCCCACCACTTAGGTTCAGTACTATTTTGAGTACATTTTTTTTTTCTTTTGAATTTGGTTTTTCTGATTACTGAATGTGGTAAAGCCAACCAGTCACACCACACTGCCCTCCACCCCAGTGGCAGCACTGAGCAGGCCAGGAGGGAGAAGAGCAGTGAACAGCAGAAAACAGAAGACACTGGGGATGGAAAGGAATGGAAGTGGCTGTGGACACACCTGGCAGGGTTTGCCCCATGCAGCTTTTCCTGCTGATGGGATATGGGCAGCAAATCTCCAGGATATACAGAGNTTTCTGCTCTGGGGGATGCCAGGGGTGCCCACAGCAGGACTGATTTCTGCCTGGCAGGAGCAGGAGGGCTGATTGCTGCACGGGGGGATGCCAGGGCTGTGCCCACAGGAGAAGTGGTTGTTCATCAAGGGGATGCTCCCCCGATGTTCCCCCCATATTCCCTCCATGTTCCCCTATGCTCCCCCAATGTTCTCTCCGTGTTTCCCTGATGTTCCCCCGACGCACCCCCGATGTACCCGCCATGTTCCCCCCATGGTCCCCCCCATTATTCCCCTCTATGTTCCCCTGATGTTCCCCCATGTTCCCCCCATGGTCCCCCAATATTGATCCGATGTTCCCCAATGTTTCCCCAATGTTGCCCCCATGTTCCCTCCGTGTTTCCCCCATTTTCCCCCCAATATTCCCCCCATGTTCCCCTGATGTTCCCTCTATGTTTCTCCCATGTTCCCCCCATGTTCTCTAATGTTCCCCCCATTTTCCCCCAATGCTCCCCCCATGTTCCCCTGATGTTCCCTCAGTGTTCCCCCCATGTTCCCCTAATGCTCCCCCGATGTTCCCCCCATTTTCCCCCAGTGTTCCCCTGATGTTCCCCCACTCGGGGTGTTCAGTGCCTCAAGGACAAGGGACAAGTGCTGCTGGCAATGAGACCCCAACAAGGGATGGCTTCTCCCCTCATCCCCTCGGGAATCCTCCAGCCTACAGTGGGAGCTCGGGAGCTTTTACTCCCAGCCCTGCTTTTCCCTAATGAGAAGCATCCCTCGGGCTTGGCCCCGTGCCTGTAAAAATGAAAATGTGCTTGTGCCTTCTGTGCCACGGCCAGAGCTGGGGGTGTGTGCTCAGGGTGGCACGGGACAACGCTGGAGTGACACGGGATAGCGAGGGGATGGCACGGGATAGCGAGGGANTTAAAATATCATATGAAAACAGTAATACGATTAGAGTAATAATAATTTGGACAATTTGAATTAGGACAATATGAGACAATAGAGACAAAGAACATTTTTTGCAACCTAAAACTATATTTAACACGCTACTTAAGAGAATTAATACGGCATTCATTTCTATAATATTCATTCTAATATTTGCCAAAAGCCGACCATAACATACATGCATTTTTCACACCTGCCCCATGTCCCTCTTTGCCTGTGTGACACGCACGGGTGTCCCCCCCAGCCACCAGGGATGGAGCTGTGCCCATGCGAGGGGGAAGGAAGGAAAGGCAGCCTGGGACAGGCAAGGGGGCAGGGAAGGAGGAATTTGTGCGGAACTGAGCAGAGGAATGGCGTGAAGGAGAGCAGAATCCCCTGGAGAGGCAGGGAGATCAGTGCTGAGTGAAATAAACCCTGAGCGGGTGGTGGCACAGCAGTGCTGCAGCACTCGGGGGGCTTCTCCAGGCAGAGAGAGAAGGCAGGGTGGGGAAGGGGCTGTAGCGAGGCCGGGGGAGCGAGAAGGAGGACGAATCCCGACCCCCAACCCCTCCCCGTGGCAGTGCCAGGGGGGCTTTGCCCAGCTGTACCCTCCCTCCTTTTCTCCTCTTTTCCCCTCCCGTTTTTGACGTGGCGCTGGGGAACTGTTGCTTTTTCAAAGTTTTCACCCTGGATTATTACCGGCTCCTTTCCCCAGCACGGAACTGTTGCTTTTTCAAAGTTTTCACCCTGGATTGTTGCCGGCTCCTTTCCCCATCCCTTTCCCCAGCGGCTGCCAGCGGGTTAATCATTGCCGGGTCGCGCACACGCGTGTGTGCCGTGTGTGCCCCGCGTGTTTGCGTGTGTTGCTCCGTTGCTGTGTGAGTCATTCCCAGCCCGCCCGGGGCTCTGCTGCCCTCCCTGAGCCGAAAAAGCAAATTGAGCTCGGATTGCGGCAGGGACAGGGACGGGAGGAGCCGCGGCTCCGGGGGCGGCTCGGGCTGGCGCTGCCCTTGACCTTGGACCCCTCTGCTCGCAGGGAATGCCTGGGGGAGGTTGTGCTTTAGGGTGCTCCGGTTCTCGCCGGTGTCCCCAGCTTCAAGGTGCAGCTTCCTTCCCAGTTTTCCTTGCCGCAGAGCCCAGCTTTCCAAGCAGGAGGAAGCTGGATCCCCCCAGGATCCCCACTCACCCCTCATTTCTAGGGTGTAAAAGAGTTGATTTTCCATTTCCATTTCTCACACACGTTGGCTCCAAAGCACAGAGCACAAGGCAGCTGCCTTCCCATTTTTCCTTGCCACAGAGCCCAACTTTCCAAGCAGGAGGAAGCTGGATACCCCCAGGACCCCCACCCACCTCCCGTTATTTCTAGGGTTGATTTTCCATTCCCATTTTTCACATACATTGGCTCCACAACGCACAAGGCAGCTGCCTTCCCATTTTTCCTTGTCACAGAGCCCAACTTTCCAAGCAGGAGGAAGCTGGATCCCCCCCTGAACCCCCACCCACCTCCCCTCATTTCTAGGGTGTAAAAGGGTTGATTTTGATTTTCCATTCCCATTTCTCACACACGGGAGGGTTTGCCTCCACGGCACAAGGCAGGGAAGGGGATGAAGTCCGAGTCTCTCTGGCAGCACTGGGAGTGCCGGAAGTGATTGGCAGATGTGGAAATCACGAGTCTCAGCAGAGCTTCGAGGGAGATAGAACCGGGAATCACCACTGCTGGGAGCTGGAGATACTGGGAGAGGGGTTGAGTGCGACTGGAGAGGGCTGGGAGGCAGGAGAACAGGAAACAGGGAATTGGGGTGGGGTGCTCAGAAGTTGGGGAGTTACAAACTGGCACAGCTGGCACTGAGGAGAGCTGGGAAATGCCAGTGCTGAGATAACTGGGCAAAACCAGTGCAGGGAAGTGGGTAAGTGAGTGGGGACATTCTTTGGTGCTCCAGAGCTCTTTGTGTGGGATGCCTCAGGATTCGGGGAACCCAGAACAGGGTGTTTCGGGGCTGTATTTGTGTCCCTGGACTCCAGAGTTTTAGGTACCGCAGGGTCCTGATTTCAGGGTGTGCCAGACCCCCCAAACCCTGGGGTCAGCTGCGGAGATGCTGCCTGCCCTGCCCTGTGGGACAGCAATGTCCTGGGGGTGCTCAGCCCTAGGGCAGCCCCTCTCAGGGTGCCCTTTCCCCTGGCTATGTCCCCCCAGTCTGCAATCCAGCCTCTATCGGGGGAATCGCCCTAGAAAAGCGTGTGCAAGGAGGTTTCCCCGAACTGCGTCCCCATATCCGCCCTCCCGAGTCCCCTTTACCCAGGGATATTTTCCCAGCCTCTCCTAAGGAAGGGCTGGGACTGATGCGAGCTGTCCCCACCCAGGTTTTGGATAACTCCACCCGCCGCCTCTCAGCTCCTCCTCCCAGCGAACAGCCCAGCTGGGATATAAGCGAGTCACTCGGAGCCAGCGGGGAGCTGCCGCGACAGCTGGCCGGGTGGCGTGGGGACATCGCGCCGCGACCTGAGCCGTGCCCTTCGCCTCCACTCCGCACCCCGATGGCGACGCCTTCGCAAAAAAGGAGCACCCGCAGCGGGGCTTCGGGGACCCCCCTGTCCCCCACCCGCATCACGCGGCTGCAGGAGAAGGAGGAGCTGCAGCAGCTCAATGACCGCCTGGCCGTGTACATCGACAAGGTGCGCTCGCTGGAGCTGGAGAACGCCGGCCTGAGGCTCCGCATCACCGAGTCCGAGGAGGTGGTGAGCCGGGAGGTGTCGGGCATCAAGGCTGCCTACGAGTCGGAACTGGCGGATGCCCGCAAGACCTTGGATTCGGTGGCCAAGGAGAGGGCTCGGCTGCAGCTGGAGCTCAGCAAAGTGCGGGAGGAGCACAAGGAGCTGAAAGCGCGGTGAGTGCCCTGGGGATGGCGGGTGCTGCCGTCATGCTTGGCAGGGAGCCGGGAGGGAGGAAGGAGTGACCCGGAGAGAGGAAAAATCCGTGGCCTGGCCGGGGCTGGGGTGTCTGTGGTAGGGACCAAATGAGGAGAGAAGCTGTCTCGTCATTCCTGCTCTCCTTCCAAGCGCCATCTTTGGCCGGGATGCCCTTGGAGCGGGGATTTGGGAGCAGAGCTGGGGTGGCTTGGGGCAGGGGCTGAGCAGACGTGTCCTGGGCCCCCGGTAGGGTCTACAAGCGCCGGGCTGGCGGCCCCTGTGCCTTCGTCATGCTGGAGCTATTCCTAAACACGCTCCGGCACAGCCCTGGAAGCGGTGCCAGCCAGCTGGCTCTGTCCTGCCTACGGATTTCTCTTGCTCGTCCCATTTTCCTTTGCTGTCTTTGGCACCGGTTAAAGAACCTGCTCCAGGTTTTTGTTTGCCTTAACCCTCCCTATGCCAAGCTGCTCCCGCCCTGTGGGGTCCCTGGTTTTGGGGGGGAAGAAATACGCGGGCAGCGCTCGTGTCCCCCTCCCAGCAGCTGTCACCGGGTGATGTGCTCCCGTCGAGGCTCCAATTCCTCCGGGCTCTTTTCTTTCCCTCCCTGGGGCAGAAATGCCCCCTCGTGGGCCCCTCCCTGCTGCCACCCTGCCCTGCTCGGGGCTGTCCCTGAGGTTCCCTGAGGACACGGGGCTCCCTGNCCACCTTTTAGATGAGAAAACATCTGGGATGTTCCTGGCAGGCTGTGCTGGCACTGAGGTGCTCACTGCTGCCAGCTCCAGGGTGGTCAAAGGACAAACAGGGATAAGATGCTGGCTTTGGAGGAGCAGTGAGCTTATAAAACATCTCTGGCACAAGAAGACCTCAGGATGCTGAGAGCTGGGTTTGCTGACAGCTGGATTTGCTGGGGCTTGATTCCCTTCTGCCAGTGTGGAATGCTCCAGGTGCTCTGCTCCCAGGTGTGCATGAACATCTGCAGACATGGCCCCTTCCTGAGGAGCTGCAGGGACACAGGAGGTGTCTGAAGCACCACCTGAGGAATGGGGACAGCATGAAAGCTGCTGGGGACATGGGGCGCTGCTTGGAGCATGGAGTGTGTCTGCTCTGTCCCTCTGCACCGAGGATCCCAGCAGGGACTTGCCAAGGCCTCTCCCCCTTTAAAGGCAGTGAAAAGGGACGGGAATACCTGCACAGCAATGTGGGGCTCCAGGTGTCCCTTGTGCCCTGTCCCTGTCCCCATCCCTTCCCCAGGGCAGCAGGGAGGAGGGAGCCAGGCCTGGGGCTGAAGCTTTGCTTTAATCCCTGGAGCAGCGGGGCAGAGCTGGACATTGTGCACAGGGACAAAATGTGGAAGAGGAAAAGGTCACTGTAGAGGTGGGAATAACTCATCCTGAAGCTGTTCCTGGAGATGATTTTTCTTCTGGGATCCTTAAAGCCCCACGCAGTGGAGACCCTTGAGCACAAGGATGTTTTACTGCAGGAGCCCTTGGCTGCAGTTTCTTACATCAGGACCCATCCTGGTCTTCCCCAGGACAGAGTGAAGGTGCCAGGAGCCCTGCCAAGCCCTCAGCCCAGGTTTGGGGCTGGGCTGGCATCCTGGAGGGTGCTGGCAAGCTCAGCAGGGCTGTGATGGCTTTTACCCACCTTCAGTGTGGCACTGGGAAAAGCCAAGCTCTGCCCCTGGCCTGGGTCCTGCCCAGCTCTGTTCTGCACAAACATCCCCTGGGCACCTCCAGTGCCCTGCAAGGAAAGGGGTGAGTGCAGCTGGGGGCTCCTCTGGCCTGGCATGAGGGCGGGCAGAGCCAAATCCTGCCCGTGGCAATGCCAGCCCTGCTGGGACTCAGCGGCTCCAGTGCCCTGTGTGCCAGGGGGAGCTGGCACAGCCTGCAGCAGGAAACCTCCAAAAATCACAAATCCACATGGACTGCAGGAGGAAACCTCCACAAATCACAAATCCACATCACCTGCAGGAGGAAACCTCCAAAAATCACAAATCCCCATCAGCTGTAGGAGGAAATTTCCACAAATCACAAATCCACATCAACTGTAGGATGAAATTTCCACAAATCACAAATCCACATCACCTGCAGGAGGAAACCTCCACAAATCCCAAATCCACATTTGACTGCAGGAGGAAACCTCCAAAAATCAGAAATCCACATGGACTTCAGGAGGAAACCTGCAGAAATCACAAATCCACATCATCTGCAGGAGGAAACCTCCACAAATCCCAAATCCACATTGACTTCAGGAGGAAACCTCCAAAAATCACAAATCCACATCGACTGCAGGAGGAAACCTCCAAAAATCACAAATCCACATCACCTGCAGGAGGAAATTTCCACAAATCACAAATCCACACTGACTGCAGCAGGAAACCTCCAGAGCACCAGCTGCTGCACCAACCTGCTCTCTCCAAGGCTGAGATGGCTCTGCTGCTTCCCTCAAGCAAAGATTCATTTCCAGCTGTGCTGAGAGTCCCCTAATTTACCCCAGATGTCTGGGCAAAGCTCAAAGGGATTTTTAACTCCTTTGAGTCTCCCCTGAGGATTGATCCCATCAGTCCCTGCAGGTTTGGGAGCTGTTCCAAACTGGCATTCCATGGGGCTGGTGCTGTGTGTGTGAGCCTCCATCCCTGTGCCCCACACTGGCCTGGTCTCATGCCAGCCCATTGTGTTTTGGCTTTTCCTGCAGGCACCAACTCACAGCTTTGGGAGAGCTGGGCATGGGAATGTGAGCCTGACCCAAACCCACAGGGCTGGGGGCTGTGGGGAGCAGGAAAATGGGGCTGGGGGCTGTGGGGAGTGGGAAAATGGGGCTGGGGGATGTGGGGGGCAGGAAAATGGGGCTGGGGGCTGTGGGCAGTGGGAAACTGGGGCTGGGGGTTGTGGGAGCAGGAAACTGGGGCTTGTTTGGGATCTTATATTCAAAACCATTTATTTCAGTGAAATGGGATATTTGAGCAGATGTTTGTGTGGTCTAGTGTGGAAACTTCCACAAATCACAAATCCACATGGACTGCAGGAGGGAATTTCCTCATATCACAAATCCTCATGGACTGCAGGAGCAAACCTCCAAAAATCACAAGTCCACCTCACCTGCAGGAGGAAACCTCAAAACACAAAGTTCCAGCCTCCATGGAAAAGAGGCTGATGCTGCTTGAGAGGAGGATCAGCAAAGCTGGAAAGGGGCTGGGAGGGCTCAGCACCCCATCCCTGATCTCCCATGTGCTTAACCCATGCCATGACTAACAAAGCCACAAAGCAGCACACACAAAACCAGCTTTTCCTTTAAAGGGGAGGGCTCTGGGAAGCCATGAGATGCATTTTCCATTGGGTCACCCCTTGCCACTTGGCAGTGTGAGCACAGCAGCCGTGCTCGGGGTTTGGGAGGGTCTGGGAGAGCTTGGAGGAGGCTGCAGAGCCCAGAGTGCCTCCCCTCTGCCTGGCATGTGGCTGGGCACCCATCCTGGCACCCACGGGTCTCTCCTAAAGAGGGGTTCAGGGGTATGGGCATGGCTTTTCTCCTGAAAGTGAAGCGTGGGCATGAGGGGCATCTCCACAGCCATCTGCATGTGCAGGCAGAGCTGTTCCCATCTCAGGATCTCCAGCAGAGCAGAGGGGACGTGTTCCAGTGTCCCCAAGGGACATGGCAGGGACACTGTGAGCCTCATATTCCCCTCTGGTTTGTCTGTCCATCTGCTCTGCCTCGCTGCTGGTCCTGGGGCAGTTTGCTGGTGCTCAGATTGTCCTGGGTGGAAGGGCAGGAGCAAATCCAGAGGGGTTCGGGGGCTGCTCTGCTTCCCCCTGTTGGGTATCAGAGCAGAGCCAGCAGCACTGCCCTGGCTGCTGCGCGCTGCCAGTCGCAGCTCCTCGATAAATACAACTGGTAAATCTATTAATTTTACAGCTCTAATTGATGTATTGCTGTAATTACCTTTTATAACAAGGCAATTAAACCCTATTAAAGATTATTAGCTAATTAAAACTCCTCCATGCACACACCCCAAGCCCCTTATGTGCACAGATTGGTGGATGGGGGGAGCTGGGAGCCCTTTGCAGCTGGGTCTCGAGGTCAGGTGAGATGGGTCAGGATGCTGGGTGGGGAGATCATGGAATCACAGGCTTATTTGGATTTAAAGGACCTTAAAGCTCATCTCATTCCACCCCCTGCCATGGGCAGGGACACCTTCCACTGTCCCAGGTTGCTCCAAGCCCTGTCCAATCTGGTCTTGGGCACTTCCCAGCATCCAGGAGCAGCCACAGCTTCTCTGGATAACCTGTGCTGATGCTCCACCACATTCACAGGGAACAATTTCTTCCTAACATCTTCTTTTAAACCTTCTCTTTTCCAGTTTAAACCCATTCACCCTTCCCCGTGTCCCATTGCTGCCTGTACCACCCTCTGTCTCTTCATTCTTGGTGTGTCACCCAGCCGGGGCTATCAGAGATCAGGATTGCTGCGTGCATCCAGCCCAGGAATTCTCCACTTTCTGGGATCAGATGGGAAGAAATGTTGAGGCTGGGATCGTCTCCTCCTGGCAGTGAGGCAGATAAAGGTGTAGGGCTAAGGATGGGCCCTAAGGATGGGTTAGAAGGGGAAAAACCCCACTTGGAGATGGGATTTGTCTGCCCTGGAAAGGAGAAGTTGCCCTGTGCTGGACAGAGGGGAATGCATTGGCTGGGGAGAGAATTTGGAAGCTGTCTGGGAGACAGGGGTGGCTCAGCCCTGCAAAAACAGGTGCCAAAAGCTGTGCAGTCTAAAAAATGAACCCCAAAGAGCCTAAAAGACCTGAAAAGCCATCAGCAAAGCAGCCCCCAGGGACCCTGCCTGATCCCATAGCTCATCCCTTCCTGTGCCCCTCCAGTGCAGCAGCCAGGGATGGAGGGGTCCCTGAAGCTCCTCTTGTCCTCTCAGCTTCATCACTGCCCTCACATTGTTTGTATCACAAAATTGTATCAATTACAGCCCCAAAACT